TTTTTTTTTTTATATATATATCCTAGTGGTTGTTTATATATTGTATGGTCTGTGTTTTTTGTCGCAGCCTTCACTCTGGGTCTGAGAGAAACGTAATTTCAGTCCTCTGTATGTCTTGTTCATATAGTGGAATTGACAATAAAATTGATTTGACTTGATTTTGAGTCCAGTTGTTTCCAGCAGAAGGATACAATGCAGATTCTAAGGCAGGGTCTTTATTCTTTATCCCTATGCTGCGTCTACTATGTTGTTTAATGCTGAGACAGCTGAAACCCAAAAGCCATATGGAGCAGATGGACAAACCCATAGTCCTGTAGACCCCACAAACCTCTCTTTGTCTCACTCTCTCCCATTTTTTATCTGAGTCACAGTGGGATTGCTGTTTAAAACAGCTGACAGACCCCTCTACATACAGACACACACAAACACAAATATGCAGTTCATGAAGATTTTTTTCTTTCTAAAGCTGACATTACTTCAATTGCACTGAATAACAAAAACCTATTAAGCACAAAGGAAAATTTGTCACTGTTTTGGGATGATTAACTTATCTCTTTCATGTGTTCTATATCCCAAGAGTTAACACCTTCTTTTATTGATTAATGTCTGTAATTTTCCTTTTTGTCTTCCTCTTTTAGATCCAGCTGCTGATTGAGATTGTCTGGCCTCTGTTCATCTTTCTCATCCTGTTCTCGGTCCGAACACATTTTCCACCCTACGAGCAACATGAATGTAAGCAGTGGTGGACAAGGGGGGAGGGGTGGCTTTAGCCAAAACCGTCTCTACTGAGCCTAGCACTGGCTGGACAGAACAGGCCTTTGATATTAACTGACTATGAACACAAAATGAAAGTGAATGCATCCAAAAAAATGTACACAGGAGTGAATACAAGACTGAGACCTGGGAGTTTGAGGGTCCTGTGCAGTATCTTAGCTGTTCCTAGGATTGCAACATATATTCAAAAAAAAATAAATACATGTATATGTATATATATATATATATATATATATATATATGTGTGTATATGTGTGTGTGTGTATGTATATATATATCCTGCTTTGTTTTTCCACTGTATTTTCTGTGTGTTGGTGTCATGGTTCAGGGACTATGCTTCCCGGTTTTGTGTTGTTGTTTTTTTTTCCCCGTCTCCTCTTGCCACCTTGTGTCCTGGCACAGTCAGTCATCATCACATCCTCCCGTTGTTCATTATCTCCCAGTCCAGTCTCCTATATATACGCTCCTTTTCCGTTAGCTCCCCTCTGGTTCGTTTGTCAACTCCCCATGCTCTTTGCCAGATCGTTGTGTGTATTTGTTCCTGAACAGATCCTGGCTGTGTGTCCATACATTGGGTTCCCCAGTACCAGACTCCTGATAGTTGGTCTTTGTTTAGAAGGGGAAGGGGCTGCACGCCTCTCACACAGGCACTCAGCTGTGTGTTTACACACCTTGCTTGTAATGCTAATGCTTGAGGTGTGAAGACGCCAACATATAACCAATCAAACGCAACTGCTCTGAGCTCAGGCACCACCTTGTTATAGTACTACCTCCTGAGGGGTGCCAAAATTTAGCTCCTGGAACACACCTCCTAACCAGGCAGAGGGCAATAGAAACAAACAGAACCTGTGTCGAGGCAAGTTAACGCTCAGTAGAGTCCTGTAATGAAAAAACCCTGATGTTAGTTATCCAAGGTTCTCATGTTGTACTGAAGGATCTGCTGGATTTGTCAATATTTGTTTGCACTGTGTGAACATGTGATAGGACATCCAGCTCTAGAAAAAGAGAATTGTTGTACCCGGTACTTTTTACCATACGGACTCTTAGAGACGAGACAGTCCAAGTAACTACAAAACAGTGCTGATTTATTCCATGAACACAGGTAAAAATTAACATTACACGCTCAGGTATCTTGCACCTCCAAACTGCACGCAGGCAGATGTAAGATGAAAGACCCTGAACCCAACAGGCCTATACATTATATCCCCTCGGTTGGGCTAGCCCCATACTACACAGAAACGTCAACCACGACGTCTCTGGTGCCAGCTTTGCAGCTGGCCATAGCAGTAGTCAAAACATGAAGCAAATCAATGTGTGTGTGTCTGTTGATTAAGTGGTGTGTAGCTAAAAACATTTTCACACAACCTCTAGTAACATGTCATGACATTAAACATAAGAACATACAGTATTATGGCTAAGGCTACAGTTATACACGTCATAATAATAATATTAAACATCCTGTCTGCTGACAGTCATCAACTCTTCTCTCTAGTTATCCTTGACCAGATGTACCCTGTAGAAACTCATAAGCATGACTAAGCATTTAACAGTCTAACTAGCCATCCTATCTCCACAACTTGGACCATGATTCCTCTCAAAGGGATTATCACTGGTGGAAAAAAATCCTGCCAGAATAGGTTTTTTTTTTTCACTTTTGGAAAGGGAAACAGTCACCCAGAGTTTCCCAGGAGATGTTTATTCCAGGGTCATTAATTTGTTTTAAGTCCTTACAGGTATCTTCATTAATTAATAAAAGCCATTCAGAATAATTTTATTATGTGCATTCTTCATCTCTTATAAGAGTTATAGGTAAGCCAGAGACTGGAAGTCTGTTCTTGTTCACACACTCAGACTTATATATATATGCACCTGCTTTTGAACAAATCGCCTGTTGTTATGTAATTATTATGAGCTTGCATATGATTGTCGTGTTGGCTAAGAACCCACTATCTGGAACAACAGCATTGATGCCAAATGGCAGTGTATCACAAGTCAGTCAGAACCCAGTGACCTAGTGTACCCCAAAGAGTTGTTTAACTTCCTGACCCCATCTCACTCTCTACGCTTGACACCTCTACCTCCACCTTTGAGAGGCACCTCTAATTGATTCCAAAGACAGTGATGATATAGTTTGTGTGGGTTATACTGTAATTAGTTGTAAACCTATTTTGCTATGTAAAAACATGTTTGAGGAAATTTTCTGCAAATTCAACTTCAGTTCTTTAGCAAGTGTATTCAATAATGCCTAATGTTTGTTTTTGGACAAAACAGCAGATGTGGTTATTTGCATTCAGTAGAACACTTTGTAGAGGTTTAGGTGTATTTAGTGGCGAATAACGTGGATACATAGTTACTGAGACGGCGCATTTAAATGGAAGGATTCATCTGATTTGGCCAAAATCTGTGCATTTTGATTTCCCTTTCTCTTTTATTGATATTTAATTTCATTAAAATATTCTTTAGAAATGCTATGCTCATCTTTCTTTTCCAGGCCATTTCCCTAACAAGGCCATGCCCTCAGCGGGTACCTTGCCCTGGATACAAGGCATCATTTGCAATGCCAACAACCCCTGCTTCCGCAATCCTACCCCTGGAGAGAGTCCTGGGGTGGTGGGAAACTTCAACGATTCAATGTGAGTAACCTGCCTTTTATAATAATTAAACCAGTGCACTGCAGTGACCTGTGATAATCAATCATCATATCAATATAATCATTTGTTTAAGTCACAAAATGCATTGGATAGTGATCCTTTCATTCTTTCAATTTTGCACACAAGTGAAAACAATTTATCTAATTCTGTCTCTTTCTTGCCACTTTGTGAACCAGAATTTCTCGTCTGCTCATTGATGCCAAGAAGATCCTGCTGTACTCTCAGAATGATAAGAGCTATGAGGGTTACAGGGGACTGCTGAGGGCCCTCAGGAAGCTGCAGAAGAACACTGCTCGTAAGGACATACCTTTGATCTGCTTGTTTTGTGTCTTCAGAGTGTGTATGTGGTACAGTATATGTCCCTTTCGTATCACAGTTTACCAGCCATGCTGGGCTCATTTCACAAAATGCCATAGGTGTTACACTTTTCTGCCTCCGATCTTACCTGCTAGTTGTGGTGATCCAAGACAGCAAAAACTGAAAATCATGCACCTGACAGTCACTGCACAATCAAAGAACAGATCTGGTTAAATGCCGAGTCTTCCTGACTGGAATGTTGCTGCTTCCTGTTGAGGACAGGTCGCAGACACTGTCTACCACCGATAAAGCTCATGTTATTCTGTAGGCTGTCAGTTTTACAACCGCTTTTAAACATTATTTTCCATGAATGCTGGAGCAGCATTTTGAAAGAAAAGAGGGAGAGATTCTTCATCATGACTTTGGCTGTTGTGGAGCAGAGAAAGATCATCTTTCTAAATTAATATCTTGTTGATGACTTCACTGTGTTGCTTTGGTCAAGCAATCTGAAAATAGAAAATAGGGTTTAACTTTGCACTTACTTCACTTCACTTGAGTAAAAGTCATACAAACACATAAACTTCTCTCAGTGGAAAGATTTTTATTTAAATTTTGTGGCCCATACTGTGACATGGGAGGCATGCTAGGACCAGTCTCTGCTGACGGTGTTTACTAAGGCAACCAGGACAAAAGAAGAAGAAGAAACATGTAATAGCATTACCAAAACAAAACAAAAATAATACTTTATAAAATGGAGGATAATAGCACCAGGAAGGGCATTATAGGACAAAGTGCAGCAACTGCCACCAGCAGTGATGTAACTGCTGACCTCAGGTAATTGCCCTTGTGAAAGGAGGCCATCTAATTAGACTGCACTGTCTTTATGTTTGTTCCATTAGTGGTGCCTTGCTACAGCAACATTTCTTTCATATTCATGTGGTAATCAGTCCATTTAGTTTCTATAAATAGAAGGATATTAGCTTGATTTCACATCAGACCCTAATGCAAGGGCCTGTGGAGCAGATTCTATCATCAGAAATTATGCAGCTATGCAAAACAATCAAAGTTCTTGTTGTTTTGGCTACTGTCTGCTCTGTTAGCCCAGAAGTGCCTACAAAGCATAGCATGGCCCAAGAAAGGAGCGAGAGATTACACATGTAGATGAAAAGAAAAAATCTATACATTGTATTTATGTAAAATTGGAAAAATTCTTAAGTTTGCACATGGTGAGTTTGAACTAACCTCGTCTCTTTTTGTCTTTCCTATCTGTCTTGATGGCAGCACATATTAGGGCCAGTTAGAACCCTGCCATCAGTGGGTCATTGTGTTTTAACTGGAATGAACAGAGTATCAGTTCTGCATTACCTTTTTTATTTTATTTATCAGGTTCTCTTATTGTGTTGATGAAGCTTTGGTGCATCTGTGCACTTCATTACAACATCATTTCTAAATGCACAGCAGTTTGATAGTTTTCAATTGCGTTTCCAGTGTGTATTTATTTTTAATTCATGTGCTGTACACTGACATAGTGCAGGGCTAGTCATGGATGTTATAGGAAAGAGCTTTGCTGCTTTATAACATGAATCAGAGAGCTGAGAATGGAGGCTCTCATATGTTGGTTAGTAATTCAGCCACAGATGGGGTCAGTCAATTAATTTTCACTTACTGGAAGGAGGTCAGGGAAAGTGATGAATAACTAGAATAACTTAACAAATCACACAGGATATACTATTCTTAGGTTAGGTCTAAAGCATGACTGCTATATGACATAGCACAGAATGATAAATGCAGGGAAAATCCATGGCATTTGAGCATTTTAAGAAAAAGCCAGGAATCGTTTTGCATTTAACCACCTCCATATTTTATCTGGATGGCTGCTTTAAAAGGCTTCATGTGTTTCAGAGGCTTGATATGTCTGTGTCTGACTGGTTAAAATGGAGACTTCTGAATGTAACTGTGCTCCCTTTTACTTCGGTTTTCATACACACAAACATGCACACAGGTCCTTGCACCTCTGTTTTTATACACACAACCATTTTGTGGTTTGGTTTCTCTGTTGTCAGAACTGGCTCAGCAGAAGCAGCAGCTGCAGCCGCCATCTTTTGTTGAGCTGGTTGCAAAGACACTTGCTATTCAGTAATGCTTGTGTTTAATAGCCAACTTGTGGTAGATTCAAGAATATGTGGTTCCACAGAGATCACACTGCCTGTTTGTAGACTAGTCTGATCAGTGATGACTGTTTTGTTAAGGCGTGTGATGCCAGAACTTAATTTAAAACAGGATAGGCACCAACAGGAGCATGTACAGACTTGTAAGTGTTAATCTTGTATTCACCCTTGTAATCCACCTGGGTTTTACATGGGAAAAACATATATAAGATTAGTTAGTTTAAAAAAAATGAATAAAGACATTATTTCTTACATTGTCTGTTCCTGATAACTCAGGAGATTTACAAAACATAGGCAGTACAAACAATGCCTAACTGTTAAGATAAAACAGGAAATAAAATGAACACATACTGTATATACACAATCAAATACTACTAGACTTTTTATTTTTAAGAGGTTGTACTATCCAGTCTGGTCTGTTCTCAGAGGCCTTTGGATGCAATGCACCATGGGAGTTTGATTTCCTACTGGGACACTAATTAGACTTTATTAGTATTCCCTGGGTGTTCACCCCTGAGAAATGAGGTCACCACATGCACACAAACATACAGGTACAGAGTTGCACGCACATATGCTTGGAGGTCCAGCTGTAATGGTATGTATGTATGTGCAACATACACTCACACCCCAGACTCACAAATAATACACACTCTGGTTCACAGCCACAGAGCTAATATAGGACAGCGACACTGCACACGTGCCCCCTTAACACAGAGAGACGCACTGTTCTCTGCCACTTCCTCCCAGAGGATGTTCACTTCAGTTGAAGCAAAGTGTTTCCCATTTTTAAGTGTGTATGGGTGTGTGTGTGTGTGTGTGTGTGCGTCATCCGATAGCTGTAAGAGAAAGCAAGTAGAAAACGATTTACTGGACATAAAGGGAGAAGAAAGGAAATCAGAGGAATGGAGGTGGAGTAGGAAGTTATTGTTCAACAGAATACAGAACAGCAAAAAGAGCAGTAGTCATTCATTTTTTTGTAAAATGTATTCATCTTAATAATCCAAGTTAATAAAAGCACATGTAAAGAAGAAATAGTTACATTTGATGCATTAAGCCACATTAACATTAAGCCATACCGTTATCACAACAGAGACAGCACTGTTAATAACCACATCAACAGTCTGTTGTGCTCTAGAGAAGCTGTTCCTCTTCTCTCTCTCCATGATAGAAAAAAGTACAAAGTAGCTCAGATTACCAGAAAAATAGTTGAGAGGTAGGGAAGGAAAATTTAGAGAGGAAAAGTTAGAGAGAGGGGGGCTGTGGAAAAAAATCTCTCAGGAAGTATCTGAAACTAAAGTAGAATGCCCCTTGGTAACCCTGGCTGAGCAAGAAACTGACAAGTGAACAGTGCATGTGCGTGTGTGCTTGTGTGCGAGCAGTTGACTTGTACCGGTTTCAGCGTTGGTTTGACTTTTCTGGAATGCAGTAGAAGTATAAAATGTTCTCTGAGTGCAGAGAGGAGAGTTTGAGTTTGCATTCCAAATATATAATTTGATCCTGGAACAGTCATTTCATCTAGATGTTTATTTTTCAGTTCTCATTGTGCTTGTCACGGTTCATTAAACCATGCATTCTTTCACTGTTTTTTTTCTATTGGCCATAGAATTTCTGGAATATTGAGGATTTTAGGAGTGATACTTCAGACAAGAAAGGTCTTTACTGGTAAAAGCACAGAGTTTCACACAGCCATTGCATGAGAAAGTGGTTTGCAGGCCAAATTTAAAGTGAAAACGTAACAACTGTATTATAAATAACCCTGGGAACCTTGTTGATTGTGTCTCATAGTTGGCTGAGTTAACACTTCTATTTTTTTCTAGGTTTCAAGCTGAAGGACTTTTTGAAAGACAATGAGACTCTCTCCCATTTCCTGCATCACAATGCTTCACTTCCTCATCATGCGCTGAAGCAGATACTGGAGGCTGATGTCAATCTGGAGAAGGTAAACTATTAAAATTACTAATACCTTTTAACCCTTACATACAGTATGTTGTCAGTCAGAACTGAACTGGCTTCATCATATCCACATTTTCCACAGTCAATAACCAACCCCCCCAGTACCATCCTCCAAGGTCTCCCCCTACTGTCACTGATTGACCAGACATTTCTAACACAGAAAGCCAATTGTTGTAAATGAAATCCTTATATTGAAAAACATTGCATGTTACAGGCCTCCACCACTATTAGCTGTACATAATGTCTCAGTACCAAAGCAGGTGACAGTACAGTATTATACAGTGTGGAGTCTATTTGTTTTTCACATATGAGATAGTCATACTCCCCAGACCACAGTGCACATGCACAAATCTGATGACCTTGGCTCGACAGGGTCTGTAGGCCCACAGGATTCTGCTCTGGCACAGCTAAGCCCTTAATACCAAGCAGAAAATGTACTGAGGGTGGTGGGGGGTAGGTGGGTGTAGAGATTGTTGGTCACCAAAAGCCCCTCCCCACCACTGTCTTGACTTTATGTTTTTCCTCACAAAAAGAATTTTCCCCCTAAACTCTATAATCTACCCAGTGCAATTTTTCTGGTTTTCATACTTTTTACTCAAATCTCCTCTTTCTGTTTTATTATCTCACTCGCCCTTATTCTCATATCCTCTTCCACTGCATACATTTTTTTCTAGCAGACTTGATTATTTCACAGCAAACCTATACGTGTTTTAAGAAACATACACACACCTCCTCCTCTCACTTCTCAATTCAAAAGAAGTGTATTTGTGTAACCTGGTATCACCTACATACATATATTGGTTCAGCTACCCAGGTCCACATCAACAACACCTCCCAAGCCAACTCATCACATCATCCCTGCTGTGCAGTTGGAGAGCTGGAGTCATATGACACCACACACACACACACACATACACACAGACAATTCACATTACCCTGTCTGATTCTGCTGAACACTTTTTCTCCCAGAGAGCTACTGATCAAAGGGGATGACTGTGTGTATCTGGAAGGTCACAGGCAACATTACTTAAGGGGAGGAGTGAAATTTAAGGGCAGCTTGTTATTGCTGTTCCCCTTTTTTATATGGAGTTGTCTGACAAATATTCTGCATTCTTTATCAGATGATCAGTATGATTCCCAGTCCTCCAAACTGTCAGAGAAAACAGAGCCTCTCTCCAATCCCTGAATACTCTGATGTCCTGGAAAAGGACTTTTTGTTATTCTGCCTGCTCAAACATAGCTGTGGTTTCCCTTCCTAATAATGTGCTTATTGTGTAAAAGGAAGCAATATGAGTTTTTTTTTTAAAGGACAAAGATAATATGGCACTTTTTTATCACTAGATATGTCTTCTTGAGTAAAGTTTACATTTGGATTATGTTGCTTGTCATTAAAACTGACTGAAAATGTCTTTGGCCTGGAGGTGCATTCAAGACATTTCTTTCCATTGTGGTTGCTCAATAAGATCTTTCTGTGAGCATTATTGTTTCGTTCTCATAATCAGGTTTTAGCAGTGTAATGCTTTGGACTGTTGCATCAGACTGACTGTTGCAGTCTTTAAAGAGTCAACTACCACCACGAAGAGAACACTGAAATGAAACACAAATGTTGTGGAAATAGGAAAAAAGAAAATAGAAATCATTGGCTGGATCGTCTCTAAATATGTACTGGCAGGATGTTTCAAAATAAAACATGTGTTGTGTTATTTAAACTGATTAATGAGCATATAATAAATCCAACATAAAGCAGATCAGTCCATTGTGCTACTGTGTTGTCACATTAAACTATGTCTAACAAACAGGATATTTACTCTCCTTCCCTCTGCCCTCTCATAGTACTGAACTCATGCTTTCATAATTCTCTCCTCCATTTGAGCCACTGTTTTTCTGTGTCCAGGTGCTGACCAAAGGTTTTGGCTTCCATCTCAGAGACCTCTGTAACACCACACCGCTGGAGGAGTTTGTCCACATTGCTGATCGTAATGTCTCCCATATGACTCAAGAAATTATCTGCAATTCCTCCAGTGACTGGCTGAACAAGGCCCAGAGCCACTTCCTGTCTAACCTGGACTTCTTCAAACCCATTTGGGTGAGTTCATCCAATGAGTCACACACATCAATCAGTGGCGTGTACAGTGCTTGAATGTTTAATTAACTTCCTAGGCTGGATTTTCCCATTGACGTGTGATCCTTGAGCATAACTGTTGATTATGATCTATGAGTGAGAAAAGACAAAGAGGTTGTCACAAGCCAATCATTTTAGTGTTGCACATCCCATTTCACTGGCCCCAAATAATGAAGACATTACTTTTCTCATTTTAATTGGCATATACATTCTATCATCACCACTGACCCATGTTGCTTCATCTCTAGGTAGTTCAGTGTCCTCCACCGTAAGAAAATTTAGGGTGTCTTTGCCAAACCTGTCAGTATAGATATTCCAAGGAATTGAAGTAGTTTTCAATCATCTGGGAGACTCATTATTATTTGTAAACAGCATCGCATCTCTTCTCTCTTAACAAGCTGAAATATTTGGGAGCCACTGTAATTTTATTTGCTTCAAACACTTCACAACTTGGGTATTTACAGAATATGAGCTGGGGCATCATGAACAAGCACACACACACAGATACACAAGAGAAAAGACAAACACTCATCTGTAGGCCACTGTTTATACATTCCAGAAACTAGTTTTAATTGCCTTTTTTTGAGGTCAGTTTAGATTTTACTTTTCAGTCTGGCATGGATTCACTCAAAGCCGAACTCAGTGTTCATCTAATTAAAGTGAAGCTTTCAAGTTTTCTGCTTATCACAAAACATTGTGTCTTTTTGCAGCCACTTGTTTTCTGTTTTTATTTTTCCTCCTTCTCTCATCCTCTGTCCTCCCTTTCCTGTCCAGCATCATCTCTCCTCTGCCCGGATCTTCTCAAACAGCTTGTTGCCCTCCCATAAAACCCATGACCTAAATGTGAGTCATATGGGTGAAGCATTGCAAAAGAAACATTATGTTCTGCAGTTTTGAGGGAGAAACACGCAAATGAAGAGACAGATAATACCATTAAAAAAATTTATGAGAAAGCTGGAAATCCCCAGTGACTCCAAACCCTGCTGTTGTTGCTGAGGTTAAAGAGATTAAAATATCCTTACTCCTGTGCCGTGGTATGAGAATGGACTTTGTTATGAATGTCATTCACCCCAAAGCACATTGTGTTTTTGTTCTTCCCTACAAACCTTGATGCAAGAGTTGAAATTCTTGCATTCTTGGAAATTCCTTTCCAAAAGTAACAAATTGCATAAAAAGTGAGGCCACGAAGACTTGCATAGCATTCGCCCACCCTTAGTTACACTGTTTGTGTGCGTGTGTGTGTGTGTGTGTGCACAATGGACAGGCAGAGAAACTGTTAAGACAAGAGAAAATGAGACAGAAGAACTAGAGTAGCATTCTCTCTTCCATAGATGTCTGTTCCATCTTCAGTGACACCTGTGCTTTATCAGTCCTCCCAGCAGCTGACAGCTTAATGTGATAGATAAGACACAAACTCTTCCACAGAGCAGTTTGGCAGACAGGAACAGAGGAGGTTGAAGCCACACTGACCGGTTGTTCTTAATCAAAACAGACACAGGGAATTTTTTACGAGATCAGTAGAGAAGTTTCTGAGTTAATACAGATGTGAATAAATAGATGATAATGATAATCACGCTTACTGGCCAAGTATGTTACACACATAAAAAATTTGTCTCCGGTGGGGTATAACAGTGAATAACAAATAAGAACATAAATATGGTCATAACAAATTTAAAGGCAATCATATTATGTGACTTTTTAATGGATAATAAATCCAGTAAAATAACACAGGAGAGGAACAGTAGCACAGGAATTTCAGTACAAGTTGCATTTGTATTTTCTACAGAAATCTTTTTTTTAATCTGCCTTGCTTTCCTTTCTCCCCTACACATCTGTTTATTTTTGTTTTTTGTTGTATGTCCTTTTCCTTAATTGTGCATGCAAACTAGAATACAGTGGAAAATCTTAAACATAATAATAACCCCCTTTTTCTTCAACCGAAGGATGTGAGTACGGACCCCAAAATCATTCAGGATGTATCAGCTGCTACAGACAATCTTCTGGAGAGCCTCGGAGCGCTGGCCGTAGAGGTAGATATACCACACGCGCTCACTACATGTTATAACGGGTACAAACCAAACTATCGTAATTATTTATCTCCAAAGTTTAGTCTTCTGTTGTAATATTTGAGAATAAAATCAATTTTACCAAGAATCAGTTCACAATGAAATCTTTCTACTTACTGGACACATAAGTTGGGGCACTTTGGTCCAGGGCCATATTGACAGTATTAACCCTCCTGTTATGCTGCGGGTCAAATTGACCCACGAACATAACTGCTGAGCCGGCATCACCTGAGAAATGAACATAACAGGAGGGTTCAGTTATGTCTGTGGGTCAGTTTGAGAAAGCACATACTGTACAGTACAGTGTGGTTTTAACAGGTGTAAAGAACAAAGCAGATGCTTGTGATGTACATGATCGAAATAGGAAAGGGAGATCTCTGCTTTACTGAAATAGAAAGAGAGATTTTTTTGCCAAGCTGGTAGCATTTTTGCAAGATTAAAAACAAGACAGATATCATCTCTGCACTGGTCCTCTTCGAGCGCACCTGACAGTTACCTATGAAAGTGGATTATGTTTTTCAGTATTCAGCCACATTAATGATGGCTTTATAACTTTCTTCTACTGCAATGACATTGTGTCATTTTTTGGGGGGGATCCCATTTCCTGATTGAGAAGCTAGATTCTGCCTCAGATTCTAATTAATGAGATAAATAACACATAATAAATCTCAATCTTAATCTTAAATGCTCTGAAAAAATATCTTTCTTATTTATTGGCCCTACTCAGCAAAGCCAGGTGTATTTTCTCACATACACCCAGAAACACTGAATATCACATGCACACCTGCCTGGCCTAAGCTAATGTAACCCTTTCAGACCTTTTGGTATATGGAGGGAAAGGATATGAGTGGTGCAAACACACACAAACACACAGCCAACCTAAACCTAATTCTGACCTCAACCCTAAAACAAGGTCTAACCCTCCAATACCCCTTTGAATCCTTGTGAGGACCAGCCAAAATGTCCTCATAATGGTGGCATCAAAGAAAAGCTAGTCTACCCAATGTAATGACACCAACACAGCCCCTGTTCTGCTGACTTGATAAAATGCTGTATAAAGATATACTCTATACTCCTTTGTAAGCAACTGCACACAGTGAGCTGGCCTTTCGTCCTGTCTTCACACTATTGTTGCAACCTTTCGTCCTGTCTTCACACTATTGTTGCACTATTGTTAGCAATTCCTTCATTCTTTTTCCACAGTACAAGTTCTGTCTTGCTTGACAATGATTAACACATGTGAACTATAAATTGGAAGAATGTTAACCAAAATCATTCTTACACAACCAACACATCCAGTGTTTTCACCAAAAAAACTAAGCAAAATTAGTTTCACTGTTATCAGATGCAAGTTTTCATTAAGGAGAATGTGTATAGCTGGCAGAAAAAAACTATAGTGTGGAAAATGGATGTAAAGCTTGCAAACATATAAATTCAATTAACAGAATAAAGTTCATTTTGACCAGTAACATAACCTTCAATTATTTCTTATTTAATGCTTAGCTCTGTAGTGTTGTTTTGTTAATCCTAATCCGTTTCAGTTTTTCTCTTAACCTTTTACTTTGTTTGTGCTTGAGCCTAGCAGCACAGAGATTTGAGCTAATAATCTGGACTCCTACTCATTCACTCACTATTACAGCAATTTAGTCTAAAGAGGTCATTCATTTCGTCCCCTGAGAACCCCAGCAAATGTAAAATTTTACAAATGATTTATTCTAATTTTAACATAGTTCTCAAAACTATTTGTGATGTTTATCTTCTTTGTATGGTTTGCCATACTATAATACAAAGAGATGCCATTTTAACCTCATGAGAATTTGTATCTTTTTAACAAAACTAGATCAGTCTATTAGCTGTATTTAGCTTTTTGTTTTAGGTTTATTTTGTTAGAGGGAGCAAGTGTCATCTTTAGTGATAGTTATATCACAACCTAGTTTAGATGTAGTTAAAATGTATGATTACATTTTAACAGTTAATCTATGATTGGTCCCTGAACTGCTCTGGTTTAAAAGGCTGTATGCTGGTGTGGAAGCTTGAACTCTAGTAACCTCAGACAGGCTCTGCTACAAGGTTACTCTGGGACAGTCCTCTGTGCCTGCAAGTCTGTTTCTGCATGCGTGTGTGCATGTATTCATCAGCTCCTCACCTAAGTTAACATGGGCATTTTCCCTCAAGGGAAAAGACATACATTCGTCACACAAAAGCATTTTAAGCAGAGGCAAATGAGCATCTGCTAGCACAGAACAATCTACACTTATACAAACTTTTGGCAGGAAGAGTCGCTTGAACGCACACGCAGACAAACATGGTAAAAAGAAAATTTAAAAGCTACTTTAGAAGACATGGGTCTGTGTGTCTGCAAGCATTTGACACCAGAGCAGAGGCAAAAAAGAAAAGGTCTGGGTTTCTGTTTCTTATTGTTCTGTTTTTACAGACACTGTACATTAGCTTTTGGCAGTGAAGATATGAAGACATGCTGTATTTAGAAATACATAAGTTCACGAGCACACTGAAACCTTTTTAACGCATGCATGTACACAGACAGCCACACACGAAAACCAAAACACATGGACAGACATACAGTCAGGGCAGAAAGAGCAAGAGAGGATCTGATGGTCTCATGTGGCTGAGGTTTCAGCTGCAGAGCAACTGCATACAGAACAATCTCAGGGAATGTGTGTGTGTGTGTGTGTGTGTGCGTGTGTGTGTGTGTGTGTGTGTGTGTGTGTGTGCGCGTGTGCATGCATTTGTGATCTGAGATGCAACAGCTCACTGTCTCACTTTTTCTTTGTTGGAGAACAGTGTTGAATATCTTGCTGACAGGCAGAATAACAATTAAACGCTGTAGACAGAACAACAGTTGGTTTGAAATAATGCAGGAGAAAACAGTGTTATTTCTTATGAAACAGCCATGTGTGATGTGCCATTGTTTGCTGTGTGTTTGTTACTCATCACGCCTGTATGCGTGTGTGTGTGTTTGTTTGTTTCTCAGTGAGGAGGTTTAATTATGAAAATGACCGATAGTAACCTCTCTTTGTTCTTGTGCCTTCCCCTTCTGCCTTCTGCCCACATTTTCATCTCCTCTTCTGCTGCAGTCCTGTATGATTTACCTTTCTTTCTTATTTTTGTTATTTCCATGTCTGCAATGATCCTTGCATTTTCACCTCAGGAAAAGGTCTGATTTCCTCCTCCTTTATCCCTCACACACACACACACACACACACACACACACACACACACAGCCAGAGCTTACTGTAAGCCCGATTATACAGAAGAAACTAACTCCCCTCTTCTTCTTTTCTTTCTTTGTTTTACTTGCACAGAAAACATCTGCCCCCTCCTTTCGTTCCTTCCCTATCACGAGTTGTTGACTGTTATGGCCCTGATGTTGCTAGGGCCTGTAATTTCATGTGCATTTGACCAGTTCAGTGACATAAACTGGGAACAAGTGGCAACTTGTTTCTCTGCTTGTAGTAACCTCTGTGAAACCTGGAATTACCTTCGTGCTGGCTGTCAGCCTGACATGATTAATGATAGGATATCAAAATTGATAAGGAACTCTTTTGTATTTCATTCATGACAATCGATTTGTGCTTCCAAATGTCATGCTGTTTTTCCACAAACTTATAGGTTTGTTTCCTTCACTTGTGTTTGTGTGTTTGTGTGTGTGTGTGTGTGTTTATTGACAAAATGATATCTGCCCAAAAGTACATAAACACTTTTTGAATCACTGAAAAAAGCTACTGTTGAAGCTTATGCAATTACTCTATGTTGTCAAAAATGCTTTATTGGAAACTTGGCCCACCGTTTTTCTGCCATTGTCAATAATAATAATACAAATAGCATCAGTACAAACAGCTGCTCAGTAGAAATGTAAACATTAACACCTATAAATGCAATATACTTACATACATTAAACTCCACAACCGTACTGTACATTGTGATGATTTCTTTTTATAGAAGTAACAGTGTGGTAAGTAACATTCCACATTGCATGTTGAACTTTATCTGAGCTTTCCAGTGTGGTGATGAAAATCCACACACACACACACACACACACACACACGGGGAGAATGATATGACAGGGAACAGCAGTTAAATTTATCTTAGTTAGGCAGATAGCGAAGTGCTAAGTGTCTCCACCCCACAGTGCAACACTTGACTTCCATGTCAAGAATGCCACTCAGTGTCACACACAGGAACACATGTGGTTCTTAAAAGCTGCCTCTGTTGTGACAGATGATAGTTTTACATCTCACACGGTGGATCACAGTATGTGAACTTCTAAAAGTGAAATCTAAGTAAGATGAAATATATTAAATTTAGGTAATAGATGCTTGTTTTTTGTCTAGCTGCACTATTTTAAGATATCTATAGGTTCTTGAGACTGGATATTTTTGCTTGTTTTTAAAGATTTTGGCAAATGCAATTTCCCTGTTCTGTTGGCATATAATTTTGTTTATTTTAAGTAATATCTCCCCCATTTTATTACTTTCTTCTTGTTTTTGAGAGCTGAGTTTTTAATCAAAATCAACTCAAACCAAATTTATTTATAGAGCACTTTAAAAACAACATCCAGCTGACCAAAATACTTTACATGGCAGAATAAAATCACAATGAATGACTAAAATAGAGTAAATAAGATCAGTGCAAATAAAAATAAAACAGCACAATAACACA